ACAGCACTACTTCCACTTGCCCAACATCTTTGGGCATAGTTTTTGGTCTTAAACTTTTGCTGAGAGCTGTAAGTGTGTCTCCCCCCATGTACACACACATCTCTGTTGCTGCTGTAATCCCAGCACCAATCTGACACAACAGCGTTTCTGCCATGTGGGTACAAGGCAGACAGAACTTTGCTGGGAAGACAGCGTGGCTCAGCCACTGAGGAATTTTAATGACCTGGAAATGTTTGTTTTAGGTTTTTCTTTTTCCTATTCATGTTAGCAGGGCAGAATTGTGAGCGCCTCCCACAAGCTGAGCACCCGAGATGCGATGCAGCGATCCTGCCCAGCGCCCACTACCAGAGGCACCGCGTGAGGCTACAGGGATCGGAGTGAAACTGTGAGTAAGGGAAGCTGGGACGGGGCTGGCTGTAAATCTATTGCTATAGTGTACTGGACGTGTGTAATGTATATGTAGTGCATATATACAGCACACACCTCCACTACACTCCAGCAATAGAGTTACAATTCTCCCCTGCTAACATGAATAGGTTAAACCATGATCCATAGTACATAACATGTAGTTGTACTATGGATCATTTAAAGTCACCTGTCCCTTTAAGAAAAAGTATCGGTAATTGGTATCGGCAAGTACATGAGGGGATGTACTTGTACTTGGGCCTGAAAAAGTGGCATCGGGACATCCCTAATTTTTATAACTATTGTTTGCTACTTTAATTGCTTGTTCACACCATCTGCAGACCAGATTTGGATGCGTTCTGCAAATGCGTGTGTGTTTTTTAAGCGTTCCGTTGATGCATGTGATTTGCTTGGGTTTTAAGGGTGGTCCAATGCGTTCTGGTGCATTTATATGTGTTTTTATGCATCCCAGAGAAGAAGAAAAAAAGCAGCATGCTGTACTTGTTTTTTAAGATTTGGAACGGAATGCTATGGTGTGAACTAGCCTAATTTAAAACCATTAGAATTACTGTGTATATGTTTTTGGTGCAGATATTAAAAAAAAAAAAAATCTGGTAAGGCCTGAAAGAGGTTGCCATACCCACTATTTTATCTTGCATTGAGACTTACTTGTTATCAAGTATTAGTACAGTATGTTTACATCAAAAAGAACTACACTACATTGCCAAAAGTATTGGGACACCCCTCCAAATCATTGGATTCAGGTGTTCAAATCACCTCCATGGCCACAGGTGTATAACATTAGACACCTAGGCATGCAGACTGCTTCTACAAATATTTGTGAATGAATGGGTCGCTCTCAGGAGCTCAGCGAATTCAAGCGTGGTACCGTGATAGGTTGCCACCTGTGCAATAAGTCCATCCATGAAATTTCCTTGCTACTAAATATTCCACTGTCAACTGTTAGTGGTATTATAACAAAGTAGAAGCAACTGGGAACAACAGCAACTGACAGAGCGGGGTCAGCGCAAGCTGAAGTGCACAGCTCACAGAAGTTGCCAACTGTCTGCAGAGTCAATAGCTACAGACCTCCAAACTTCGTGTGGCCTTCAGATTGGCACAACAACAGTGCTTAGAGAGCTTCATGGAATGGATTTCCATGGATGAGCAGCTGCATCCAAGCCTTATATCACCAAGTGCAATGCAAAGCGTCGGATGCAGTGGTGTAAAGCACGCCGCCACTGGACTCTAGAGAAGTGGAGACGTGTTCTCAGGAGTGACGAATCAAACTTCTCTGTCTTGCAATTCAATGGACGTGTCTGGGTTTGGTGGTTGCCAGGAGAACGGTACTTGCCTGACTGCATTGTGGCAAGTGTAAGGTTTGGTGGAGGGGGATTATGGTGTGGGGTTGTTTTTCCGGGGTTGGGCTTGGCCCCTTAGTTCCAGTGAAGGGAACTCTTAAGGCATCAGCATACCAAGACATTTTGGACAATTTCATGCTCCCAACTGAGTTGCTTTTACCAACAAGCATGTTTGAGAACAAGCCCTAGAATGAGTTCCAGAGCAGCACTGCAAAACTTTAAAGATGAGCAGTTCCTGATATATCACTATCCCACCTACCCCTTACACAGTACCAGGACAAGGACAAGGAACCAGATGGTTTGTAGTATGTGAACTGTACTACATATCTCAGCATTGTGATAATGAACCACCTTCACTAAGCCAGCAATATTATCAGAATGGATCGATAAATAGAGGTCCTAACAAGTTATTTAACAATAAAAAGGACAGAGAGAACAGGCAGGTGAAAATCAGACAGTGTATTATTGAGCATACCAAAGTTCAATTTTAAGTGGTGTGTTAAAGTATATTGAACACATGACTTGTTATTTTTGGACACAGTAGGAAGTTATTAAAACCTGGTCAGATTTTTCTATATCTGTGTCTCATTTTCTTTCAATTTCCTACTAAAAACCATAGAAATCCACTCCTGGCTGCTACCAAAAAATTGTCCCTATTGAAAGTTACAATCTAGATCTGTTCTAGTGTCAGCTTTGGATTTTCCCTCACTTTCAACCCCTGTAACAATGGTCACCAGGAAAGAGAGTATGTCTTGCTAGCAATGGCAGAGGCGAAACTAAAAACCCAACAGCAGTTCTTATTCCTAACCTCTCTTTTTAAAACTATAAAAAATGTTTTGGATTGAAATACATTTGAATTGAGTAATGTGTTGCTTCACTCCTTTTTTTTAGGGTTTGTATACAGGATTCGCTAGCTTTTGTGAGAAAGCACCTTGAGTGCATATCAATGTATCTTGTTTCTCTTTCATTTCTTTATATTGTGTATTTTCGTAGCCAGTTTAACTAGTTAATAGGATGCAACTTACCTGAACTTCACCTTTTGCAAAAGGTAAGGTAAACTCTCCATGCATGAGCCCATTTTTCTCAAAGAAAATCACATCATGTTTGTTGGGTTTGCTCTGTGTAGAAGCAATCAGACTTCCAGAGGGTCTGCAATTAAATACAAAACAAAGCCTAGTTAAGACAGGCCAATGATTGTAGTAAATGCAAATTAATTCCATAAACAAGCCACTCTCCCACTACTCTCTCTTAACTCAACCTCAGAGTATGCAAACAGACAGGCCAGAGGATATGTTTAGGAACTGCTCTCTCAAACAACCTCAGAGTATGAAAACAGACAGCTCTGAGGCTGTATTCGGGAAACTGATTCCACAACACAGCCTTAGGGCTGCCAGTTTACATACCCACAGTCAGAAGAGAATGAGATAGTAGCCATGGGGTTAGAGCAGCAGAGGGTAGGCAAAAAAGAAGAATCTGACTATCTGTGTCCAATAGGGGAGATTTCCCCTCGCTTCCTGTCCAAAGAAGCAACAGAAAGTGAAAAAGAAAGACACATCTCCACAAAGTAAGCGGGATTTCTCTCTTACTTTGGGTCCCTTTGAAAAATATTTACTATTTGCTCTGGTGACAACTGTAAAAATGTTATACTTCCCTTCACGCCTCAGTGAAAATGGTCAACAGGAGAAATTGGAAGCGTGAATCTACCCTATACATACATTTTAATGTTGCCAAAAGCAATATCTGACTGCTCATTTGAACCAGGATTTAGAAGTCTTAAATTACAAAAACCAAATACTAAATCCATGACACCACACCCCTAATTTTCAAATACAAAAACCAAACAATACTAAATGGGGCTTTTAGGGTGTCATCTTTGCAGAATGCAAAGGTACATAATCAAAACACACTGCATATTAGGGATGCACCGATACCGATACTAGTATCGGTATCTGTGCCGATACGAGTATTTGGGTGAGTACTCGTACTCGCCCAAATGCTCAGATACCTAGCACGAGTACTTCCTGTATCAGGAAGCCGGGCAGCGCATCATTACGCGCTGCACGGTTTCCTGATTGGTCAGGAAGCTATCAAATCCGGAAGCCGGGCGCCGAGTAATGACGCAGCGCCCGGCATTCTGATTGGCCGGGAAGCCGGCGTCATGCTCGCTCGTCATCTCATGAATCATAATATTAAGAAAGTGACCTTAAAGAATTAGTTTGTATTGCTTTAGAAAAAATGTGACCTGTCCCTTTAAGAAAAAGTATCGGTAATTGGTATCTGCGAGTACTTGATCAAAAGTATCGGTACTGGTACTCGGTCTTAAAAAAGTGGTATCGGTGCATCCCTACTGTATATAATAAACACATAAATCACATGTTATGTATATTATTGAAATACCAATCACTTTTAAAAAGTACATATAAGATATATACGTAAAAAAAAAATATCCAAACATGTTAAAAATGCATCCAAATAGCGTCCTCCGTTGATGTCGTAGTATACTTAATACCGTTTATGAAGGAAGACGCTATTTGGATGCATTTTTAACATGTTTGGATATTTAGTTTTTACGTATATATCTTATATGTACTTTTAAAAGTGATTGGTATTTCAATAATATACATAACATGTGATTTATGTGTTATTATATACAGTGCGTTTGATTATGTACCTTTGCATTCTGAAGATGACCCCTTAAAAGCCCCATTTAGTATTGTTTGGTTTTTGTATTTGAAAATTAGGGGTGTGGTGTCATGGATCTTGTGGCGATTCAAAACATTTTGTATTAAGTCTTAAATTAACTTGTACCTCATCACTACCCTAAGTAACTACCGTATATACTCGAGTATAAGCCGAGGGGGGCACTTTTCACCCAAAAAAATGGGCTGAAAATCTCGGCTTATACTCGAGTATATACGGTATTCATTATTATCTATTATAAAAAAATTTTAACGAAAACTTTTTGTGTGGAAACAATTGCTAGAGCAAATATTATAGCATATTTTAAGAACCTTTGTTTCCCCAATAACTAGCAAAAAAAAATTATATATATATATCCAAAGCCAACATTTCATATTCATCCCCAGCCACCAGACTTGGGTTCTATTGACTATTGCACGTCTGCTGATCTATAGACTATTACTTACATATTTTAAAAAACAATGCGTTGTGCCAGTTTGGAGACAGGCAGACGGACATAAAAAGTCTCCCTGAGCTTTACTGAGCACAATATTGCAGTGCCACCCACACAAGCCTGGTAGCCAGAGAGATTTTAGGCTAATAATGCAATTAACAGACTCAGAGGATTTCTTTTCTACCTACTTGATATATAAAAACCATGTTTACTTTGGCATATATTTACAGTACAGAATCACAATGAGGATAAATGTTAGTGCAGGGGAAAAAAATAAAAAATTATCTTACTTCCAGCACAGTGACTGTTCTAAGCCTTCCACTGGTTCACTGGTAGACTGCAGGGAGAGTTCTCTGTTCCAAACTCTGATCTTGCGGGAGCCTGTGAAACCATGCAAAGACAACACAGTCCTGTCTTCATAACTATGCAGTATTACTTGTGTATTCCTATTTTAACATTAAAATGGCTGTCGGCAAATACCAAGTATGATTATTTTTATTTAACAGTTTTATGTAAAACACTTTCAGACACTGTCTAGTCCTAAATCAGATGATGAGCTACATAAAATATACAGCGATATGCATATGTAAACTATTTACCCTTTTGGTTTTCTGTAGTATTAAAAGGCTCCGTTTAAATACTGGATATAAATTGTGATTTTACCATCTGATAACTCTTTAAATGGGCACATATTTTCTTGTGCCACAAATTGTAAAAACAAAAAGTAGACATTTATTGGTTGCCTAAACATTATTCATCCTTCTCCCCCCCAAATCAGTGCTTGGTAGAGACCTTTGGCAATTACAGCTGCTGCTTATTTTGGGGTGAGGCTCAACCAGGTTTGCACATCTAAACTCTGCAACTGTCCCCCATTCTTCTTGGCATCATTTATCTAGCTCTGGCAGGATGGATAGGGGGTGTTGCAAACAGTCATTTTCAAATTCTGCCAGAGGACTTCAGTTGGACATGGCAAGCTTCATAATTTTAAATCACTCCAGTGTAGCCTTCACAGTGTTTGGGGTAACTGATTTGCTGGAAATAAAAACGCAGTCTCTGGACTCTTGAATCAACTTTTTGTTTTTTAAAGACTTGCACTGAATTTGGCAACTTTTTTTTTAATTTGTCAGGAGTTGGCTGCCTTTTCAAGTCTTTGGGCTTCCTTTTAAAGTGTATTTCCACTTTTGCAGTCAAATTTGAGAAAACTCCACTATATGTTTGTTATGTTTCTACTCACACAGAACGAAAAGTATTTAAAAAAAAAAAAAAAGGAAAAATATTTCTTACCTTTTAGATGTTTTGCTGCAGCAGGCAACATGGGTAAATCCATGTTTTTTTTTTCTGAGCATCTTCACAGTGATCTGTCCTTATAGAAAGACTTAGGACTGAAATTTGAGGATTGCGTTTCTCTCATTAACTTCAAAACCAATACAATGGAGAAGCTAGAGTTGTAATCCTCTAATCCATTGTTTAGGACAGGAAGTATTCAAATCTACTTTACAAATTAGACTGAACAAATCCTCACAGCCCTTGCCAGCATTTCAAAGAAAGAGACCCAAGTAGAAATTGTAACCCTTTAGGAAGCCAAGAAAACCTAACCCAGGTAAAAAAATGTAAACTGAAGTACTTTAAAAATTTTTTTTAGCTTATGCTATATGATTGGGAATATGTAACAGATATAAAAATAGATGTTATCCTAATTTGGCTGTGTAAGTGGAAATACAAGCCTGAACTGGAAATTGTGCCAATGTACCAAAAATATATCAGACAAAAATTTAAGCATACAACTTTTTACAAACACACACAAAAATGTAAAATGTCATACTCATATTAACAAAATACATAAGCATGCTTTTTTTTTTTAGTATACCCTATAGAATCTTGCCTTATTTCAACCCTAAACCTATCTAAAATAAACTCCCATTGTAAAAGTATTTACACTCTTTTTAGGGAGAATTCTTAACAACTATTATTACCTGTCTGTGGGCAAATGGTACTGAGAGCAAAGAGCTGTCCATCCCCTCTCCAAGTGATGCGAGGTAATTGGTCATCCCAGGGTAAAGCAGGCTGAACACTCTGGAATGTCAAAAATAAATATTAATATACTGCATGTTAACTAGTCACTTTAAAGTGACATTAAACCCTCAGATTTTTTAACATAAACCAATACTGTAATGTGTGCCTTACGGTAATCCATAGTAGTTTCCCTTCTCTTTGCTGCTCTTCCTTTTAAATCCTCATGTCTTCTCATGCTGGGGGAGAATTTCCCTTTGCAGCTGAGTGCCTCTTCCTGTAGTGCTGGCTCAGGTTACAAACCTATACACAGACACCATGTATCCATTCCAGAGACAAGGCAGTCTGCTGCAAAACAGAAGTTCTGCCCAGCATGAGAACAGATACAGATTTAAAAGGAATTAGCGTCCTCCCGTCACCCTAAGCTCAGTATACCGCGAGCTACAGCTCGCGGTATACTGAGACGCCGCAGTATACCGCGAGCTACAGCTCGCAGTATACTGAGATGCCGCAGCTGAAGCGGATCCCGACAATTATGTCTGGATCCGCCCAGCTGCGTGAGTGACAGCTGGCTCTGCCTATCTAGAGGCAGAGCAAGCTGTACCTGCCCCCTCCCCCGTCCGTTCCACCAGTCAGCGCTGGAGGATCGGAGGGGGGAATCCAGCCCCTCCTCTGTCACGGCAGAGAGCCGTGACAGCATCGAGAAGTGAGCGAACGCCGGTATGTGTTCGCTCACTTCCCGATCTACTGAGCCGACCTGTGACAGTCTCATTGTCACAGGTCGGCTAGAACTATGAGGTGAGTGAAAAGCACTCACCTCATAGTTGTCCTTTAAGACGACCAAAAGGTAGGCAGATTTTTATTGTATGTGTCTTCACTGGAAGATTGACCCTCTCTATTTGTCCTAATAACTATCGTCATTGGGAATGAAAGTAAGGGAAAATCCAAAGTTTTGAGCTGATCTTCGTTTTACTGGCGGGTTTTACCCCTCCGTGCTCTACTCAAAACTAAAAATAAAACGTTATGGCATTAAATATATTTTAAGTGTATGCATGTCAGGCAATTTAAAACTGTAACATTAACAAGTATTTATAACAAAGATGACAGTACTCCCCTGACAATGCTTACATCTGCTTATCTCTCCAAAAGAACAGCAACATCTTTGTTCAGTCATCATCCAAAGTCAGCATCTACTTCTACTAATAAGGGCATGTTCACACCAAATGCAGACCAGATCTGCATGAGTTTCTGCACACACAGTGCAGTGGGTTGTGCCGCGTTTTTGATGCGTTTCGGGCCGTTTTTGGATTTAAAAAAAATATTTTTATTTTTTTAAAGTTTAGAATGGGCTTTTAGTGCATTCCAGAGTGCTTGCATGCGCAACCAATCACCTTCTCTCTTTCATTTGCAAAGCTTAACTGAACAAACTTGAGAGAAGCTGATTGGTTACTGTGGGCAACTGCTCTAGCATCTGTCTGCTCCAGTTTTGATAAATTCCCCCCTCTGCGTTTCTGAATGAAGCAGAATATGAGTAATAAAGTAAAGCCAAAAAATGCAGTCACTTCCCTTTTTCTAAGGGTGTCTCCAAGAATGTGACGCATAAAACCTCTACCTTCATATACTTCAACAGTTTAATAAACAGTCACTGAAATACTCTACCAGAACTTTCCGCTGTGCTGCTCGTTTTCCTTCAGATCCATGGAACTGGGTCTCCTTCTTGCCCCAACCAACAGTAATGAATTTTCCTGTTGAATTGAATACAAACTGTTTTCATTTTGAAAGCCATAGCCACAGACAAAGAATATCATAAGTCACTACAGAAGTCTTGATTTTGTTTGATGAGGGTCATAACATCACTTAAACATATGTTACCTTCACCAAAATCCTCTTGATGGATTGGTATTTCAGAAATTGGTTCAAAGTCTTTTGTCATCAAGATGAGTGTTTGCTGGCCTTGAGAAACAACAGTAAATAATGACACTGATTAACATCATTCTAGTTTTTACTATGAATTCATTTATATTAAAATAATAATGCTGAGAGCTATTTCTGTGTTTCCCCCTTTACATTATTTTTTTTTTACATTCTTGCATCATTCTCTTAAGCTGACTGTAAAGTCTATTATTCAACATTGCTGATTTTATTAGCCTACAAATGTTATCAATTTTAAACTCTTTTAGCTTTTCATTCCTTATCAAAAATCAGTGGATTGATATGCGGTGCCTGTGTGCTTGTGGATACACACACAACTTACTAGCAAAACAAGGATAACTCCATGGGACCCTGCCAGGGTATAGAGCCATATATCAGGGCCAATGCTCAGAGCACCAGCATCCATTGTAAGTGGTTTATTCAGCATTTAAAATAGCTTAAAAACACTTTGACTTTAATAACACCGGTGATTAACAGAAACATGACAGCTACCATTGTTGAGCTCCTTCTGAAAATATTAGCTGGCTAATGGTTTTGCTGACCCATTGGTTTTAGTATTTCTTCAATCTCCGACCCAAAAAATGTATGAGGATAAGAAATGTCAGAAGTCCTTATCTGCCTACTTATTCTGGGTCAGTGACTAAAAGAATTAGCGCAAGGAATTCAGCATGACAACTTGCATTTTCAAAAAGGCAGCAATAGAAGCTTCCATATTTCTTCCATGACCATTTTCCTTTAAAGGTTAGTGGCAATTTCAATCTGTGCTAAACATATACAAACGTCTTCATCCCCATCACCTAATACTCGAATTTTGACAGTTTTGTATGAAAATTAGGCCATCTACAAGGCACAATTCCCTTAAAAAATAACTTAAAAAAAAGCTATGTTAAAAAAGAAAATCAACCAGGTAAGCCATTTATATGATCCACAGCTGGTATATACTCATTTGCATGTTCATATGTATTACGTCATACATCATATGTCATAGAAATTGTTAGAAAACTACCATGTGGGTGATCACAATTAGGCTACCGCCATCATTTACAATAAATGAATATAATAGCAAATGATCTAATATGGATCTGCCAACATATATCGGTGAAACTCTGAAATGGCCTAAAACAATAAACACATTTGTTTGTTACAGTATTCCTAATTTTTGCTAACCAAAAAAACAAAGATTTAACACTTCTAAACCAAACATATTTCTAGCTTTAGAAAGACAATAGCATATAGTTTATACCTGTCACGAGCAGAATAAGCTCCTGATCAGGGCTCCAACCCATAGCAACAATGCCACTGTCCACACTTCCGACACACTCGAGCTGCAAAGAAAAAATAAATAAATTAAAGGGCCATTTGAATGAATGCACAGATATGTCTGTTCCAGATATGTTACACAGTTAGGTGTTAAATATACAATAGGCCCATTTTGGAGAGTTGCAACAGTACATGCGTGACCTTTTGCAAAGTTTTAACCTTTTTAAGAAAACATTTTTTTTTTTATATTCCTACATACAAAACACAACAACAAACATGCACACTGGTATCTCCATGGCAACATCATAGTGAGCATGCAGCCCTCTGCAATGCTGATGTCAGCCTGCATGCCGTGAACATAGGTCCTTTGAGGTGGCTCCCTCTTAAAGGAGAGGTTACTGATGATAATGGGGAAGCAAAATGGCTTAGTGGTTAGCACTTCTGCCTTGCAGCAAAGTGCTCCAAGGCAGGTCACTATCTGCAAGGAGTTTGCATGTTCTCTCTGTGCTTGTGTGGGTTTCCTCTGGGTACTCCAGTTTCCTCCCACACTCCAAAGACATGCTGAAAGGCTAATTGGCTCCTGTCTAAAATCGGCCCTAGTATGTATGTATGCATGTGAGACAAGGACCTTAGATTGTAAGCTCCTTGAGGGCAGGTACTGATGGAAATGTGCAGTATGTAAAGTGCTGCGTAAATTGTCAGCTCTATATAAATACTAGGGATACACGGATACTGGTTCTTCGGTAACGAGTACCGATATATACATTTTTTGGTACTCGCCAATACCGAATACCGATACTGGCACCGTAGGCCTGGATCATCAGGAAGCCAGTGTTCTATTGAAAGAACACCGGCTTCACTTCCCTCGCGACACAGCCTGGCTTCCTGACCAATCAGAAAGCCAGGTGGCGGGTTGTGACGTGCCGCCCAACTTCCTGATTGGTCAGGAAGCCAGGCTGCCTAGCAATAAGTGAAGCCAGTTTCTTAGACAATCAGGAAGCCGGGTCACAACGTGCCGTCTGGCTTCCTGATTGGTACTAGTAATCGGTGCATCCCTAAAAAAAATCCTGTAATAATACGAATATTGGACACTGGTCTCCTCAGCATCCCTAATTCCTGGGGTGCCAACATAGAAAGGGTTATGAACAACCTACACATTGACCCTCCATTAATAGCAAGGAGGTTGCCAACCCCCTCAGTGTTGAACAAGTAAAAAAAAGGACCCTTATATGTTTATCAGTGCATACAAGTATGCAAAAGGATTAAATAAAAAAAGTTATTTTATTTTAACTCGAATGTTGTGACACTTTGGCCTGGCAAATAAAAGATGCAGCAGGTAATAGATACAGTGAATAGTACAGTAACCATATTCCACTGAAAAACAAATGCTGCAAAGTGTTACAGGATTTGGTAAATCACACCAGCTAACACATTTTATTCATAGGGTGTATGTGCTGTTACGGAGGCAGTTAAGTGTGTGTGGGGACTTTTAGAACACGATGGATATTTTAACATTCTAAATGTGGTTGTATGTCGTTATGAATGACAATGATCAGTAGTATTGATCAGTTGGTCAACATTGTTTATCACATGCTAATGAAGAGATTTTAAACTTATGAAGAAAATAATTACCTGGCCAGTGCTGAGATTACATAGGATGACATCACCTGTGGCAGTGGCAAGACACACGGACTGCTGATCTGGAACATCTTGTATACCAACCACCTGTCCACTTCCATCTTCTGGCAGATAACTCTCAGATGTTAGGGAGACATCTGTAATTATCTAAATAAATAAAAAATACTAAAATATTCGCTAGCGTGGTATCCCCTTGCCCTGTGCACATGCCCCGTGTTGGGATGTACTGGGTAGAAATATCACAGACGACCCTGGGCCTAAACCAACATACGGTATGCCTTTTATACATTGTACTACAAGTGCCATCACTGGTCTTGCCGAACCATAACCGCTCAGATACTGTTGACTATTCTGCTGCTAATGTTCACTGGCCTATTGGCCTATAGTCTATTGCCTTACACATGTACTTTCTGTATTTTGTCAAAACCCCATGTTTATGTTAATTTTTGTTAAGGTGAACTTGTTACTTTGCCTTTTTGTACTAAACTCTTAAACTTGAATAAACTCAGATTGAACTAAAATATACAAAACAGGAAAGCTGAAAGCCTCCAATAGTAATGGAGTATAATGAGGACAGATGCAACCACAAATAGGAACTGGAGGAATCTTAGGAGGTAAATATAGAAGTATATTTCACTCCCTACCAAGATCCAATTTTGTCTGCTAGAAAAAGGTTTCTCTTAAAGTTCTTTTTGAAGCAGAAGTCCAGACAAACAGCTAAATACACAGATGAAACACATATGTGAGCGGTTTTATTTCTCACAACATGTGTACTTTTGTCCATCCAGTCCTGACATTTGCTAAGTTGTGCCATGCAACACAGTCTGGCCTGACTTTTTTTCTGCTGTAATTAACTCCCCTTTGTGACTGCAATACCCCTTGCCATGAGAACATTAATTAAAGGAGAAATATGGGGTCAGGGTTTTTCCCCTTAGTTCTCCTAAGGGTCAAGGGAGAACACAAACTAGCGTCCTCCCGTCACCCAAAGCTCATATACTGAGACGCCACAGCCGGAACGGATCCAGACATCACTGTCGAGATCCACCCAGCTGCGGGATTGACAGCTGGCTCTGCCTATCTAGAGGCAGAGCCAGCTGTACCCGCCCCCTCCCTGTCCGTTCCGCCAGTCAGCGCTGGAGGATCGGAAAGAGGAGGGGGGGAATCCCTGCAGTGAGCTGTGAGTGACAGTCACGGCTCTCTGCACAGTTAGATCGAGAAGTGAGCAAGCACCGGTATGTGTTCACTCACTTCTCGATCTACTGAGCCGACCTGTGACAGTTTTATTGTCACAGGTCGGCTCAGATTATAAGGCTGACTGAAAATCACTCGCCTCTTAAATCTCCTTTAAGCTTTCAGCAAAGAACTAGGAATACCCAAACCTGTGTTTCCTAGTCCTCAGGCTTGAAGCCAAACCAAAAACTTCCTTCAGACTTGTGTGTCTGAATTTTCATGGCTTCTTTAGCACGTTTTTATTGCATGCATTTTCATTTTGGACAATGAAGGCAAAATAAAGTAGTCTAAGTTGTTATAGAGTAGGGGCTTGTTGTAATATGCTAAAACGCAGAAAAAGCATGTTACATGTGTTTTCATGCTCTTCAAACAAAGAAGCGCCTGCACCTTTCCAAAAATCTGTGAACGTGCAATACGTGCATTGTAACCCAATGGCTTATTGTCAAGTTACTAGATGCATACTGATGCTGTTAAACTTGGTCTGGGCATCTAAGCTTAAAAAACTGTAGTTGCGAAAGGGTTTAAGTGCAACTGAAACCAAAATATTTTTTTTTAGTTTTGTATAAAGTGGAGGTTTTGGCTTCAGTTCCACTTTACAGGTCTTGACCCTTCCCCAGCTTGTGACTGGACAATGAAAGACCAGACTGATGAGCTCATCACTCTGCTCTCTCCTCCTATCAACTGACTGGCTTCTTCAGTTGCTTGATAACGCTCCTAAACTCACTTTAGAAACCTTACCGAATCCCACCATTCCTTCATGTATAAAGTGATCCAGAGAAGGATTTTTCAATGTTTATGCAACCATCTATCTTAGAGAAGTATTGGGAGGGTAACATATACTCTTACCAATACTCAGAGCCGACCTGCGACACTACAAGCTGTCACACACCTTCACTATACAGGTGAAACTCGAATAATTAGAATATCGTGCAAAAGTAATGGCAGTAAGTGCTGCAAGAGGGGCCCAAACCAAGTACTGAGTACATATGCATGCTTGTACTTTTCAGAGGTCCGATATTGTTCTATGTACAATCCTTGTATTATTGATTGCATGTAATATTCTCATTTTCTGAGATTGTGTATATGGGGTTTTCATGAGCTGTAAGCCATAATCATCACAATTATGACAAATCACGGCTTGAATTATCTTGCTTTGCATGTAATGAGTCTATCTCATATATTAGTTTCACCTTTTAAGTTGCATTAGTGAAATAAATGAACTTTGCACGATATTCTAATTATTCGAGTTTCACCTGTATACTGAGAGCTGAGTGATCATACAACTTCCGATTCCTCAGCTCAGTCTTCTCCTCCTCCTCCTCTCCTAAACAGTATCCTAATGGGACGTGAATACCTGACTAGGGGGATTCAGTGTCTTCAGATCTGCAAACCAGAAGGAAATCAGCATAAAATAAATCCATATGGTATCAGTTACCTGTTCTGTGTTGGGATCTAACTCCACAAAGCCATAATTTGAGCCAATGAGAACTGTTCCAGTGTCAGTCCTTATGGAGCTGCATTGTGGAATGCCCATGCCTTGAGCTGATCTGCACTGCAGAGTACTGAGTAACTTAAGGTTTCGCATGTTGATGATGATGGTTATGAAAGACCTGCACAGAGAAAAAAAAAAAAAAAAAAAACCATGCTGAATTGTATGTTATTGGTTGATTTTCAAAAGGTGCTAAAATACTTCGGCAAAACTGTAGCCGAAAACAGCATGACGGAGTTTTGCCAAGATTAAAGCCTATCTAAGCCCAAAAACAAAAATGTGCCATACCAGTCCTTAGATGAGGTAGCTCCATTAGTTTTCTTTTTTGAAGCTAAACTCCGTGCACTAAAAAATGTAATTAAATATTTTCCTTAATACCAACGAAGGATATCAATCCACTTTATATGCACCAAATGCCACTGCAGAAGCAGTTATTACCTTATAAAAGTAGCAGCGACATCATCACTATCCTTCACATAGGCTGTGCAGAGATCAGGGCTGTGGGAGGAACCCAGCAGGTCCACCCACTACAGGTTGCCTGCAGGAAACTACAGGGGGGGGCGGGGCGGATACAAGACCAGTCACCCTGCACAAAGATAAAGAGCAGCAGTGACTGGTCTGTATTGCAGAAAGCTTCTATACAAAAGGGAAAGTGTCCCACTGGATTACTGCACAGATCTGGAGAAATGCACAAAGCACACCAAGTTTGAAGTAAGAATACACATGCCTCTTGTATTTAGACAATATTTGTCCTGGGCATTAGCTATAAGGCTTTTGTTTTTCTGTATTTTAACTTAGTTATCCTACCAGCAACACACTTTCTCTTCTAGGATGACAACACTGCCTCACTGTATCTATAGAAGAGCAGCATTGTCACCCTAGGCTGCTTTCTGATTTGGACTACAAAGACCTCCCCCCTTTCCGCATTTCCATTACACAGGGGGAGTGGTTACTTAGTTCACTGAAGAGAAAATAAAAAGATGATAACATTGTTTGAGACTTCAGCTCAGTGCATTACAAGGACACTGGATTCCTATCAGGATCAACAGGTACTTGAACAAAATTTACTTAGCCTGATTTAAACCGCCACATCTGGAACTGATTAGCTACAATCTATTACATGTTTTAGATCATATCTATGCGTTGTGATCACGAGTGTGCTGTAGGGCAGTAGCCAGCCTGCTATTGCAATGTGAAATGGCCAATAGCAGCCTAGCTCTTCATTCTCCGGCTGTTGTTTTTTTGGCCTTTTTTTTTTTTTTATTCCGACAGTGGCTGGCAGCCTCTGTCAAAATAAGATATAAAAAAAAACAGATAGCAGGGGAGCTAATGCTTCTCCTGCTATCTGCTGTTTTTTTTCTTTGTATTCTGACAGCGGCCACCGGAACATGACATAGACTGGACAGGGGAGTAGAACCGCCAGGTATCACCGGGAAGGTTTACTCTGCCAGATAGAGCAGAGTAAACCTTTCTGGGATAAAATGTTTCTCTCACATGCGTCAGTGAGAGACTCCCGGAACATCCAGGAGTTGGGATATGTGCAACAGGAACGCACGTGCTCACGCACTGCAGAAATGTGAACAGAGCCTTAAAAGCAGCCTTTACGTTGTTGGCTGTGTGTACACAGATCAGCCCCCCTGCTGCTGCCCCTCATCACAACATTACACTATACAGTGATCACCTGGAGAAAGGAGACTGAGGAAAGCCTTCCCCCTGCATGCAGCACCCTGACATCATTCTCCCACACTCCTTCAATCATACATTAAAATGCACTTAATCGAAGCTTGGAATTTTTAAAAGCCATTAAACTTCTGCTGTACATTGTGACTTGTCAGGAATGCATTTAAACATACAAAGCTAACTGCTTTGTAAAAGCAAGGTATGGCAGCATGCATAATATGTCAAACTACAATAAGTTATTCTTCTTCATTGCAACCTAGAAACAAGACCGATACGCCAGGACAAAAATAACTCTAAAAGATGACTGTGAAGTAGAAGCCATGAATGCAAAGAGTATAACATACCATAACACTGTGCACTATCCACGTTTCCTGCTTTCTATACCCTGCCAAATACCCACCATTCACTGCACAGACTCGTGTCTACATCTGAGCTCTAGAGGCTGTCCTTTATTCTGAACTGTACCAAAGCTGATGCGACATGTTTCCGAAGTCATAGGTTTCTGGTTGGGGAACCGGGAGACCTACCCAATATGGCAGGTGGAGGTGGAGACAAAACTGATCACATGCTGCTGCTCTAGTGCGCTGATTCGACGTATTTCCGTTACCGTCTAATGTCTAGAGGTCGTAGTGGCCATGTTTGAGATGGGCAAGATGAAATGTGTTCAATCGTCGGGTTTTATTTTTGAAAGCTTGTTGATGGGAAAGTAATAATACACACGAATAGTTAAACAATGACTGATGTAGTCAGGATTTTTCTCCTCTAAACCGCGACAGTGATTATAGTGGGTAAAGGGGTTCCACCCATTCCCCAATATTGCAACTTCCTTTTTTTATTTAGAAAAATCTATATATATATATATAGATTTTTCTAAATAAAAAAAGGAAGTTGCAATATATATAGACATTCAATAGATAGACAGACAGACGGGCCGAGATTTATAAACATATTTATCAGTTTATAGAAGCGCCAACTAGAAATGATGCTGGACCTATTGATCTCAAACAATGAACAAATGTTCATATAAAACATAATCTGTATAGCAGTGACCTTAATATTCCATTTCATTTAAGTTGTAATCAATGAGCACATTGATAAAAACATTTTTTATTTTAGAGGAAATATTTTTGAAGAAATAGTGTCATTAAAGAGCACAGTACAGAAATGGCAATATTTCAAATCGACTGTATGCAAAATCACTGCAAAATATATTTCCATGGGCAAGAAGTTTAAAAGGCTCACTTCCAATGTAAAAAAAAAACATAAAGAGTGAGAAAGGGGCATTTACTAAATATAAACGTGAAGGAACACTTTAATCATTTGAAAGTTTGAAAGAATAGGAAATAAAGATGTAAAAAGAAAATCAAGACTGCAAAAAATGAAAAATAAACAGGTTGAAAAGGAGAATATGACAAACCCACAACATTTCTTTAAATATATTAATAGTGAAAGATAATGTCTGATAATGTAGGTTCATTATAAGATATCTCAGAGTTGGTGACTAGGTACAAAGAGAAGGGAAATCTATTAAATACCTTCTTTAGCTCTACATATACAAATGGGGAAGGAAGTGCCACAGACTCAAATGAACCACAGTGGCTCAACATTGATATGATCTAAAACAGAGAAAATAAAGGTGGAAAAAAAGAACCTGGTTATATCTGTGTCTTCTGAAAGTTCTGCTCTGTTATTTCAGAGACAATGTACTAATTTGTAGAGACTCTTTAATGACTGGCCAATGTGGTGCTTATATTTAAGGCCCCATGCACACCAGTCCAAACACCCCTGGCTAGTGGAATGGGAGTGGCGTGGGTGTTGGTAAGTGATGTAGGTTCTGAAGAAACTGCATGCAGGTTGCAGAGGTCTTCTAGCAGGACGCAGGTGCAGAACGCAGGATCCAAGTAGCAAAGTCGAGACAAATCGTGTCAGCAAAAGTCTGGCAGCGTAGTACCGAATCAAAAGACAGGACCTGGTCAAAGGCAGGTGTTATCAAGGTGGTAACTTGCAAGCAGCATGGTACTAGGCGACAGGTGAAAGAATAGTCCAGAACAAGCCAAGGTCAGGGAATGCAGAGCGGAATTCAGAGGTCAAACAAGCCAGGTCGGTAATGTGTGGTCAGATCAGGAATGCAGGTTCAGGAATGTAGTAACAGGATACAGTTGACGATCCATGCATGGAGGCCAGAGCGTCTCAGTCATAAATAGCTAGTTTGGCACCATTGTTTGAACAAGCGCGTGAACACGTCCATGCAGAGGAACGCACACAACATTTCTATGCACACGCATGTGAGCAGGTGCCCGTTCGGAACTCCAGCTGCACCGGCTGATCCTGGCTTCTTGACAGTTAGCATCTGTTTTTCAACAGATGCCAATGCAAGGACATCTGAAAAAAAATGGGTGTGAATAGGAGCAGTTCACACCAGTCCATTGCCTTCCACTGCCCCCGCTGAAAAAAAACAAAGCAGGCTTCTACTTTTTGAACTGCTAACACGTGTCAACAGTAGTTAGAACCAATACCTTATATAGCTTAGTGTAAAAATGAAAACAAAAAAAGTAATGCAATGAATATTAACGGAGTATGCAATTGCAAGTAAACAGACCTACGTTGACTCATGTTTTTGGCTCTGATTTTGGTGTGAATGCAGCCTTAAAAGGACTCAATGTCTTTACCAAGTAATTGCAGACCTGTAAGCTTAAAGTGACATTGAACCCTCAGATTGTTTAACATAAACCAATACTGTAATGTGTTCCTTACTGTAATCCATGGTAGTTTCCCTTCTCTTTGCTCTTCCTTTTAAATCCTCATGTCTTCTCATGCTGGGGGAGAATTTCCCTTTGCAGCTGGGTGACTCTTCCTGTAGTGCTGGCTCAGGTTGTGAACCTACACACAGACACCGGGTATTCATTTCGGAGACAAGGCAGTCTGCTGCAAAACAGAAGTTCTGCCCAGCATGAGAAGAAATACGGATTGAAAAGGAAGGGCAGCAAAGAGAAGGGAACCAACCATGGATTACAGTTAGGCACACATTACAGTATTGTTTTATGTTAAAAAATCGGAGGGTTTAATGTCACTTTAACTTCCATAATTGGAAAGATACTTGAATATTTGCTAAATGACCACATAGAAGAGCTTTTGCTAGAAAACAATATTTTAAGCGATAGCATGATTCACAAATGGACAAAGTTGTCAAACAAATCTACTTTCCTTTAATAAGGGGGTAGAAAAAGGAGTGTCTTTAGATAAAGTACACTTGGACTTCCCCACAGATGGCTATATGTATGGGTAATATGTAGGGATGCACAGAAATGTAAATTTTAGACCAAAATCGAAACCAAAAATAAAAAAATTGTCAGGCACAAAAAAATATTCATTTTTTAATTATTCTATTTTCATTTATTTATTCATTTGTTTATTTTTATTTATTTATTTTCTTTTTTTTTTTTACTTTGATGTCAGGAGCTTTGGTAACATATCAGGGGTCCAAAGAGACCCCTGGTATTTCCCTTTAAATATACAAAAAGGGATTGAGGACATAGAGTCCTAAATATCTTTTTCTGCAGCACCTGTTATGAATGAACAGGAAGCTCTGAGTGTTCCTGTCCATTCATAAACTGTGGAGATAGTATGAGCACTTCCTGTTCATTCATAACTGGGAACACAGTAAACATACTGTATCCTCAGTTATTTACAAACATTCAGTGATCAGTCCTGATCGATGAGTGTTGGTTTAACCCGCTCTCCATCCTGACTCGCAGTCACAGGAGGCCCAGCAGGGCGGTGCAGGAAGAGAATGCGGCTGACTCCACCACCCGCACCGCTCCGCTTGACATCCTGAGCTGTCTCCTCCCTGCTCAGCCTCCTGAAAGCTCCTCTCCTCCCCGCTGGATGCCGGTCTGTGTCCCCTTGGATTCCTGCTGCCTCTGCCGACGCAGGCGGAGCGGCGGTCAATTTACTGGACACAGACTGGCGTCCAGCGGGGAAGAGAGTAGCCTAGAGATGCACTGAATTTTCGGCCGCATTTTCAGCCGTTATGGTACTTTCTGCATTTTGCCCAAAGTACCATTTTTGGCCAAAATGTTTTGGTGGCTGAAATTTCGCTGCATCTCTAGTAATATGTCTATAGGCTTAGAAAATTCAGACTGTAAGTGTTTAGAAAACTGGCCGAAAGAGTAGTAATGCAATTCATACTCTGAATTGTCTAAGGTTGTTTGTGGTATACCCCAAGGTTCAGTGCTGGTTTTCTCACTTTTAATTTTTTTTTAAAAGGATATAGAATTTGGGAATAAAATAACAATTTCTGTGTGTGCAGATTGCACCAAGCTATGTAGTGGACTACAGTGCTTACAAGATGTCTCCAATTTACAAGCAGATTTGAATGCACTGTTTGAATGGACAAATATATGCGCAAAATTAAGTTTAATGCCGATGTAAAGGTATGTACTCGAGCGATAAAAACATGGCTGCATCATACAATGGAGAGGGTGTACAATTGGGGAAGTCAATAATTGAGAAGTATCTGGGAGTTCTGGTAGATCATACACTTAACAATAGCATACAATGCCAAACTGAAGTTTCTGTATGACTAGGAACACATAAGAAACATACAGTGGGGTTTTCTCAAATTTGACTTCAAAAGTGGAACTACACTTTCAGAGGACAATTTATCTTTATAGAAATGTATTTACCCTTGCAGTGGGGCTACCTCCACACTGCAGGTGTTAAGTGCTCATTTTCGTCTAGATGTGAAAATAAAAAAGTTATACTCACCTAAGCCTCAGAGCTGATTGGCTCCAAATAAGAATGATCAAAATTAGAATGACCAAATGATAAATTACATGGGTTTTTGCCCCATTCCCACAACAGCTGGTTAACTCGCACAGGATGATATTTGAAGTTTCACTAGACAAATGAGCTGTCTATATTCTCTGGTTCCATCTTTCCCCCTCATGAACATGCTAAAGAACATTTTAAATAACACCTTTCTTTTAATACCATATTTTAGACCCCATAAAGGTATTGGCTCTCTCTGCTTCTCGTTGCAATGTAGGTAGATCATAGCTGGTGGGAAGGGCTTTCAGGGTGCTGAACATAGCTTCTTGAAAATATCACAGCACCCTGTCTCAGTACACCTCACAAGAGCCCTTAGCATGGGGTTAGCTCTTGGGAGGAGTTGTGCAAATATCAAAATACCTTGATGGGTGGATATCATTCTGGATGAGTGGGCATTTCAAGGCAGACTGCATTTGCATGCGGCCCACATCCGATGCTGAGTCTCCATGAATGAAAGAACTAAAGTCCAGCAAAGGAAAGGGATGGGCAAGGGACAGTAAGTCTGTGGAAGAAACAGTTCCAGGGCTCACCTGCAGGTGTCAGCAATTAGTCACCACCTGGTGCTGATCTGGGAGGTGATTT